AACGAATGGATTTTGTTGGTTCCTGCTTATGTTCGTCGGTGACTCGCGAGATGGAAATATTTGGCGTTAGCTTTGTCGCTAATCATCTACATATAGCAGATGCCTATTCAAAGGTAGAAGAACGAAACTTGAGAGGGAACAAGACCTAATGTTAGCATAAAATTGTCCTGGATTTAGAACAATATTTATTGACATTCGTTATTCTTTGTCACTCTTGGCGATTCTTTCCAAAGTTCTACACCTATATATTTGCATGTTTGCAAAAAAATCTAATAATAAAAAGTAATAAAATTCCTTTTTGCACTAAAAGAGTAACTGCTTTCCAAATGCTTTGAGGAGCTCTCCCGCGTAATTAAATCCTCAGTGTTTTTTTTGGTTTACTAGTACTAAAATATTTAGCTTTAGAAACATAGAACACAGAGCTTCACCTCTCTGCTGATTAATCCTCAAACTTGGGAAATTAGACTATCACGTCATCCGTCGTCCCGTTGGTCATCGAGTGACTCCAGCGGGTACTAGTAAAGTTTCCATTTTCCCCTCTTGCCTACAAGAGTAGCCCAGTGAGTTCTGCTCGTTCTAGAGACTCGTTGAGCATCATATCTTTCTTCCAGGTCTTTCGTGGACTCTGACCATTGGCACGGTGGTCTACCTGCACTACGTTTGATATGCTGCCGCATCCAGTCACTGACTGCTCCTGTTCATCGGTTGTCTTCCACAAGCGTTAGGTATCCGGTCCATCTTATATTCGACAGTTTAACGCAAAGGACGGCGTGTTTGACTTTTGCCCATTTGCAGATCGAAGACTTAGATTCATTCCATTAATTGCGTGATACGGGATACTCCTAGCGTCGTCCTTTAGAATGCGCCTCCAACAACACTGAATGATCCTAAGTCCTTGATCCTGCTTACCTAGCGACCAGTTTTCTAATGAATACGTCAGGGCAAGGAGAATCGTGCAGTGAAAAAGGTGGGCACAGAGTCGCGTGTTTCTTGCTCTCCTCACTATATCGCCGACGGTACTGAAAGTTCGCCAAGCCGTTCGCATCCTCCTACTCACCTCTGTACTAGATTGTTCATCATTTTGATTTCATGATCTAGATAGAAGTATTTACTCATTCGGAAATACTCGTTCCGTTGAGCGTGAATGGAGCACATGAAGCTAATCCGTCTATCAATAACATCGCTTTTGCGAAATTTACTCGAAGACCAGTCTTTCGACAAGCTTTATCAAAGTCGGCAAGCATTCGTTCCGCTTGGCTAATGTTTGATGTTATAAGAACGATGTCATCAGCAACCAAAGATGGTTTAATTGCCGATAATGCCAGCCATCGACCTCCCGTGTTCGCATATAGTTCTCGAGGGTGGCGACGGATAATTTCAGTGAGGCGGTATCGCTTTGCTTAACCCTTAGTTTGACGCCGATGCTAATATCGTTGTAGAACGGTGATATCTTGTTTGCGAAATTTTTGTACGGGTTATGAAGAATCTTTGTACAATTTTAACTTAATATTTACTGCCTAATATTTTTAAGGGCAGGGTATATTGCGAAATATAACTTCAATGATGGTGAGATATTTACAAAACTCTGGACCGCAGGTGTTAGCGGTAGGGAACGAACGCGCTATTGTCCTTTCCGGGGAGTAACGCGTTCACCACCACGCCACTGTGTGTTCCACACAGCAAACACCTGCGGTCCGGAGTTTCGCAAATATCTCAGCATCATTGAAGTTATATTTCGCAATGTATACCCTGTCGTTAAAAAGAGTAGGCAGTAAATAATAAGTTAAAATTGTGATTATAACTGCAGCCTCAGTTTAACTGGGTTCGTTGCCGATTTGGGCTCCCCAGATCAATCCGGCCGACGGGTGGTTGCTGATGGCAAAAGATCGATAGAACTAGCTGAGAGACAGGCGAAACGAAGGACCCGCATGGTGTGGTGGTGAACGCGCTGCTCCCCGAAAAGGACATAGCGCGCTCGTTCCCCACCACATACACCAGCGGTCCGGAGTTTTGCAAATATCTCAACATCACTGAAATCGTTGTACACTCAGTAGGGCACTCTGACTGTCCAGGACTTTCATGACTGCTTTCATCTCAACTTAGTCAAAAGCTTCCATTAAACCATGAAGGTGAGAGTGTCTTATTATCCTGTGAATTTGGTACATCGTACTGAACCCTATTCGAAACCCTTCGTGGTCACATGGCTGTCTTTCGTCCAATGTGTCTTCAATGCTATTTAGAATGATTCGAGTGAAAGTTTGTAAACGAAAGACAGCAAGCAGATTGGGCAATAGTTGCCGATATGGTGGAGGTCATCCTTCTTAAACAATAATACGGTATTGCTGTTCTACTGAATAAGTACCTTGCATTATTACAGGTAACGTGTGAGAATCACAGCCGTCTATTTATGGGGACTCACGGAACGTTCTTCAGATGTTCTGATCTCATCCTCTCCTGACCTGGTGTTGGTCGACTCTTACCCGCCGAAATAGAATATCGGATTTCGGAAGGGAGAACTGGTGGTACGACATATTCATCCTCCTTTATTCCATATAAGAGCAGGAGAACGTGGCTACTGAACAGATCCGTGTAGTAATCGTGAACGATTTACTCCATTGTCCTTCTGGAACCCGTTACTGCTTCGTCTTGGCGTCGGAATGCAATCATCCAGGCTTTGTGATTGGCGAAGCTTCGATGTGCTTTGCGAATGTTTTTCCCAGCCTCTGCAGCTTTGACCATAACTGCTTTTCTTCTCTCTCTAGGATCTTGTTCTATTGCTTGTCTGCATTGTTTTGCAAGTTCAGACGTGTGTTAGCAGTTGCCTTTGGCTAATACGATTCCACTTTGGCGTACTAGCTCGAGTACATTTGAAAACAGACATCTCATGGTGAGTTTTCGACTCTCAGCTTTTGCATCCCTAAGGTGAAGGTACTGAATGAGCCAAACGAATTCTCGTCGATGGTATCAAGGAAGACGTCTTCCCAACAGCCGACGAATGAACTGAATAAATCCGAGTTTATCGTGATCCCCGCGATTTTGGGACTTCGTTTTTCGAATTTAGTGGCATTTTTCCCCTTCCCGCGAAAACTGAATTCTTGTACAAAGGATGCGATAGTCTGATCAATTGTTGGATTTTGGGACAACAACGACATCGATTACGCAAAACCTTCGATTTACTGTGATGTGGTGTACTTCATTATGGTACTATCCATTGAGAGGCTCCCACGTCCAGCTTCTAGAATTGCGAGTTATGGTCTTGGTCGTCATAATAAACTCGGACAACTACACACTGTGCTCGTTCCATTCTAATCTGTGGATCCCAATGAGACGTTCTTCTTGATCCAATCATGGCATTAAAATCTCCAGTGATGACCTCAAAACATCTAAGGTCTTCTCTGTAGAACTTCTCAATGTCTATATAGAACGCCTCGACTTCCTCTTCGACAGTTTGATGTCGGCGCGTAAACGACGAAGATTGTCAAAGCAAGTATTGATTGCATTTTACCAATCCTGGACCTCCCATTTCGCTTGTTAGTTAATGGAATGAATCCATGTTCATGGCTAAACTCGTGTTGGCGAGAACCCCGATGCCTCCCTCTCCTCTACTGTCGCATGTTCCTAGGAACAGTTCTTCTCCAATGTCATAGGAGGCGCGAAATGGGTTGGGTCTTACTTTCTCAGCCAGTGCAATGACATCGCACCTTATCCTTTTTGCTTACATAATGAAGTCTACTGAGAACTCGGATGAACGCTTGCGTGCATTGTAGGTGCAGATCGTCGCCTTAGTCTTTTGTGATTTATGAGGTCTAGAACGGGCCTGAAATTTTAGCAGCCAGTCTGTACTCGTCCTACCCAACACGGCCAAATCGGGGGCTCTTTCGAGGTTAGGGAAATGAGGCCCGTTTACTATACTGTGTTTAGGTTTTCGCTACGCACGTATCCTTTGCTAAGCTCTGAACGTGGGGCTGTGTATGATTTCGGGTAGCTTGGCAGTCTCTCTAAGAGTGGACATGGAACTTATTCGTTGGAGGCGACTACTAACCGCCTCCCATATATTCACTTGGTAGCAGGCTTTTGGCCGAACTGACTCGTAGAATACAATCTGCATAAACTAGAATGCACCCACACACGCATGCATAGATACGCTTCGTCAATACAGAAGGTATGTGCCAAATCAGCGCAGCAGAAACAAGGAGTGCATCCCCTGGATCTACCCGCGTCTCGAGAAAGCAAAGGTCGCTTTTGGTCTGCGAGTAACCCCCTACCCACCATCTGGAAAAGCTCTACATTGACTTGCAACTCTACGCCATGAAATCCCTCATATGAGGGAGATCCGTGTAGCGAGGTGTTGGCGGGAAAAATAAGGTAAGATAGCATGGATGATTCCACAGGTAAATGGCGATTTCTGTGTAATCGCTGAAGGCAGACATTATTGCAGGATGCTTGACTCTTATGTGATCCACGTTCACATAAAATGGACTCGAAAAAGATGTAAACGTCTTCTAGGACGACCATCATACGATAGGCAGACGTGGATCGAGGTAAAATCAACCACATGCATTCGCAAAGGTAAACGCTGTATGGATACGGAATGAGAGAACATTATTATTACTAACGAAATAAACTTCCCCATGAACCGTGATCGAGAAACAAAGAAAAAACGCATGGAAAGTGATAACTACCCCACACTACTCGCGTTGATGGAACTGTTAGCGCTTATAGGACATAACTTCTACCAAGCAAATAATGTATATTTTACCTTTATTTTTGATCGTGTTTAAAAAAACGATAATATTCATCTTAAAAAGAACATTCGGTAAAAATAACAAACGTGAACAATGAACATGATTAACACCTCAACACTACCTCATAACGAATTTTTTTCAGGACTCATTGATAAAGGCATACCACATCATACATAGAATAACTTATTTACAGTAACAAATTATTACACTAACCGAGAGCATTCAAAAAAGATAGCGTTTCCATAAATCACCGGTCTACTCACAGCCACCCAGTTCGCTACGAAAGAAATCAACTATCTCGGCTTGATGATCTAGCACGTACTCATAAACTGTTTGAGATGGATTAAGCATGAATGTCTGACGAAGCAGAGCTGTTTCGTCCTCATCTACGTTAGTTGTCTGAAGGACAAAATAATTTGGTTAGAGGTTTAGAAGTGCCTGATTTACTAATAAATGGATTACGTCCAAACCAACTCCTCTACTATGGAAGAACTAACCAAACCGAATAGATATTTAAAACAAGAATAAATTAATACTGCTAATGCGATTTGCATTTCTAAAACTTTCTAAAACGAAGATACTCGTTCCAGAGGAAGCATTATCTCAAAAGATCGACTTTCTATAGACCTCGGCATAAATAATCAATATATTTGTGTGTGTGCTCTTATGAACCGAACCGGTTTAGCTGATGTGAAGTTAGTATAAGCTGTCGTTGTCTTCTTGTTGTTGTTGTTGGTCGATGGCTGACATTTCGACTATTTCGCCTTCCTTAGAGTCGTGCTGTTTACGAGCACACGAATTACGAAGGGGAAAACGCCGAAACGTCAGCCATCGACCAACAACAACAACAACAACAACAACAACGACAATGACAACTTCTAACTTCGCATCAGCTCAACAGGATCAATTCATAAGAGCATATAAACAAATAGAATGCAAAATGTTTGAAGTGAAAAAAAACAATAACCTGTACTTCCACAAAATCGTTCAAATCATCTTCATTATCCTTAGCCTCCGCTTTTTCCTTAGTTGGTTTACGTGGCAGCGGAGGTTCACCTAACGTTTCTGACCGCATTCCTATGATATGCTGAAAACAAATACAATCCCATGACAAAAGTGACACAAGGAATACAGGATATTCACCCTAGAGCTGTAATCAAAATGCGAGATCATAGTTGAAGCAAAGGCGGTTTCCAAAGATTATCAGGAAACCAGAAACAATGGCAATTAGTGATAACTCACTTGGCAAAGCTGTTCAGCCAATTTTTCCGTAGGGAAAAGTCCTTTAGTTTCAGGTCTACGAAGTGCTACTACTGACACATACCTTCCCATATTGACGTCATCGGATCCACCTTAAATAATCGGAGAAATTGGAAAGGCAAAACCTTCTATGTCAAAGGATATTGGATCAGTCATGAAAACCATACCTCTAGGATGGGCTACAGAATATAAAGTTGCACCCTCGGGAGCGTAGAGTGTTATTATGTTCCGTACGGAAAGATTTTCACCCAGCTTACCCACTGTCATGGCAACAATTTCGCTAAGAGGTCTACCTTCGGCATCCGAAAGTGAGGCGAGGTCTGGAAATAATTCAAAATTCAAAGTTCTACAGCGTCATTTTGAAAACAACCAAACACATAATTAAACCGACGTTCACTTAATATCGACGTGGATAACGAACACATTTGTTTAGAGTGTTCAGCTTAAACGAGGTTGCTATAAAACCTTTACTCGGCAAACGTTTCGACGTCCTCATCTGGCTCTGAAGAAGAAGAGTGGCGTGTGTGGAGGAGAGATCGGAGGCATCCTATAACACACACAGGGGGTTGATCACCGCTCCCGTGGCTCACCAAGAATTCCTTCCCTCCGGGATTGGCAAACTGGTACCAGACTTGTCTAGGACAACAGCATTGGCTCGATATGTCGGTAGGTCACTGCAAGTCATTGTAAAGGCCTGATATGCATTCAATCACTTCCGACGATGCTTAGTGAAGTCGAATGCATGGCGCATCCCTCAGGGATTGATCAACACCGACAGCTTTGTCGTTTTCTTAGCAACCTCGTGTAAGCAAAAACGTGTAAGGAAATCTAAAAATGAACTTCGACAAACATAACCTAAAAGAGAACTACTTTAACCCATGAACTTCAATCAAATTACCTACAAGTTATGTAAGAGTATTTGCCTTCGTATGAGTGTGTAAGGTATTCATGACACGATTAGCAAGGCCATGTAAGAAAAAGATTTCGGCATAAGTCATCCCGTAATGACAACACTACCAAGAAATCAGTGTTCGCTGAAAAGTAAGACGCAACATAAATTTCGAACAATAGAAGTTTTCCAATGGAAGAACTTTACAACTGTGTTGAAAAAATCCAACCGAAACAACAATTTACGATTACATCGAAAAGTAACACATAAGTAGCGGTTGAAATTCAAACCGCAACAGGACAGAACTCGGGATAAAGTTCAAGATACGAACATAGGAGTACTGTAAAAAACGGTAAGAAAGAAAAGATGTTGATAACAGGGATGCTGTACCTGAACACTTCACTACTATTTTGGAACACAGCATTAAGGAGGCAATCGAGCTATACTACCATGCTTACAATAAATACCACACTGCGACACCATGACTGCAACAAAAATAAATCCCTAATTAGTCATCAGTAATCAATGAGTATAGTAGCGTACATCATGCGTAGAATGGACTCTGCGAGAACGCAAACTTCCCCTAGGACGGCCACCTACACGTTGGGCGGACGTGTTCGTATAAAATGTTAATGAACTGTACCCACAGTTGCAGTTATTTCACAAATAACGGTAGCAGAATCGCACCTGCCACCACGCCCGACTAAAACCACCACCATGGACGACGACTACGAGGGAAAGAAACGAATAGCAAATGTGCAAGGGTCCGCGCAACTCGTGAGGACGGACCATCCAAGTATCCAATTAAGAAAGTAATTATCATTCGTATTTTAAACAAGAGAAACTCTAAGCATTAGAGTACCTCTAAAGCAACAGTGCAACTCATTTCAAGAACAAAGGGCATAGATCATTAACCTGGAAGCTATAAAAGCGCCACTATTAAGGATTGCGTTTCAATCTTCACGAAGAAAATATACGAACTAATCGAAAATATTGTTCCCTTGTGTTGACTTTTGACTGCGAAGAGCTATCCAGTAGAACATAATCCACTACCACAACAGAATCTGCAGACGAAGAGGATCTGAACGGACGACCCAGTAAGTAATAAAAATGATATGAACGATGAACTGTGCATTGAACTAAACGAAGAAAAACCGAAAAGTTCACATCTTCTCAACTAAAGGAAGATGTAGTGGAAACGAAGTACCCATATGTCGAGCATATCAAAATGGACGATGGTAATTTACGAATGAGGTGAAAATCGAGCCGTTTCTCTAGAGCGGAAAAGAACTTGATACGACATCAGAGAAAATCACCAACTATGAAGTCATTATAGCACCTTCAAGCTGTCCGCGCCGGTCCCCTTTCGTATCCAACATTCCATGGATGTTGTTATATTCAAAGTCCAAAAGTCCAATTTCATTATTCAAAGAACTGTAGACTTGATGGAGCTCCATGAAAAGACAGAAGTCTCAAATACAGTGGCAGATATCTATAATATTTCCCATGGATAAGTCCATCCGATGGACAAAACCCATTAGTGACTGGATTCCTCGGTATGTCAAACGTGCTGCAGGAAGACCACCGACTCGGCGGTGGTAAGAGTTTATCACGAAGAGCCTAGAAGAAAACTATGAAGCTAAACGATACACTATAGCGAGCAGAACCCAATGGGCTACTCTAGCACGCGACAGGGAAAAACGGAAGATTTACTGGAACCCGCTCGAGTCACTCGATGATTAACGGGAATAGAGGTGGTGCGTCTAGTGGAACCGCTTTTTGTACAGAAGACCATAACTATGGAATTCTTGTAAGTAATAATACCAAGAATAATAAGACAAGAGTAGCAATATAAGAGACTCTATTGCTAGCCTAAAACACTTTTTACAATGTAAGAACTTACCAAAATCCACAGCAAGTATCTTATCGGGTAATTTCTTCGGAACGTTCTTCATGGCACGATTAAGAGCTGATTCTGTCAGTTTCGCCAACTAAACTATAGCAGTATCACATACAGCAACTACAATTCAACACATTCGTGTTTTGCATCCTTCACTGAGGTAATGACAAAGCTTATACCTAACCAGATTTTTGAAGTTATCTCCCCTCGCCACGAAATCGGTTTCGCAGTTCAACTCCGTCACAGCAGCCACTGACCCAGTCGATTTGACACCTATAAGGCCTTGAGTTGTTGGACGGCTGCTCAGCCTAAAACACTAAGTGAACACAGAATCCTAAAATACAGTGAAATTGACGTACGAAAATTATCTAGGAAAAAATAAAAATAAAACTTAAAGTCAGTGACGAAGAAAATCTCAAACTACGTTATACAGGGATTATGGAAACTTCAAGACCACTAAAAACGTGGAAAAGATAAAGTTCAGTGCTAAAGTTGACATAACTTAGTCCAAACAACCCTGCACTATGATTCGATAGTGTATTTCGTATCATCCTCCTAACACTTTACCGGGTCATCGTGACTAGGATGTTTCTGGGTGTCGGGCTGCGAAGGATAGCGGAGGATAAGTAGAGTTTCCCAAGCTGAGTCCGGCGTTTCCATTAGGAAGCCGAACTAAAAGTAAACCAATGTCAAGATCAACCACCGTCCTGGTATCAAACTAGTTGTATGGTAGCAAATCTCCCTCTGATCCACTACGGCAGCGAATGCCTGTGGAGGTGACAAACTGGAGCAGACTTTAGCCTGGTTGATTTCGGAACTCCAGGAAACCACAATGGCTAAAACAGCAAGATTCCGAAAAAGTGGAAGAAGACGGGCCATTCAAGTATCCAAGTGCTATGAAATCCACATACTTAGTTGCTTTTTCCCATCCTTCAATTTGAGCTTGCTGATTTAGCCATTTCACGGCCTCTTCAAGATTATCCGGTCCAAACTGCAGAACAGCTTTACGGCAGCTTACGAAACTGTAGCCCGTGCGTTTCCTTAGTTTCATCAACGCCTGAAAGCATAACGTTAGATTAACACCCCCAACAATCGGCTTTGATATGAAAACCGACACAAAAACCTACGACGAAGTTTCTGTAAAACCATACTCTACTTCTATTCCCACTTACAGAACAACTTTTAAAAAGTGAAATGAAGCGCGATGGAAGCAAGAAGAATGGGGAAACGCAGATAGAGTTCTTCTAAAGAAAAGGTCAATCCAAAACGAAGACCATGAATTTTACCTCTTTATCGATTTTAACGCTAGCCTGGGGAGCTGACGAGGAAAAGCTTCGGACAAAAGACGTTGACATCGCAGTTCGTCGGAAAAACTGCCTCAGCATCCTAAAAATAAACAGGTCTCTCCCAAAGGATAAAGTTTAGAAGGAAGAGCAATCGGCGTTGATCAATCCATGAGGGATGTGTCATGCATTCGACGTCATTAAGCATCGTTCGAGGTGAATGAATGCATATTTAGCATCTACAATGGCTCGCGGTGGCCTACCGATGTATTGAGCGAGTACTGCCATCATCGCAGACAAGTCTGATACCAAGTTGCCTAACCCGGAGGGAAGGAAGGCTTCGTGAGCCTGGTGAGCGAGGATCCTATGTGTATTGCAGGGCGCCTCTAACCACTGCGCTACATGCGGGAAACTACGATTTAACCTTCATTTCTTTCAAAATAGGAAATAATTACTCAAAATACTTAGACGTATACATTCGAACACAGACGGCGATGAGAATGAGATAATCTCAGGTCCGTTCAACCTATATAAAATCTTACGATTGGAGCGCGGAATCCAGTATCTGTAGTGATTGTCATCGACACGCATAGAACTTTTACTAGCCTTTACTAATCATTTCTAAATAAAATTCCGGAATAGTGACCGGTTGTTTCTAAATTTCGATTGTTCATTGTCCTGCGTTCTTTAATAGTTTTGTGATTATGACAAAGTCAATTGTATCCCACCCAGCGGTTTCTCGCCTCGTCGTTGTTGCGATGTTTTCCTGGGTGCGATGTGCAACGAGAGGATTCATCTCCCACCAAGGCCCCCCGAGCTGAGAATGAGTTCGCCGTTTCCATCGGGAAGCGCGGATACTTACTTGGACGGTCCGTCTTCACGAGCTGTGCCCCAGCACATATGCCAGACCCCAGCACATATGCCATTCGTTCCTTTCTCACAATCGTAGTACATGGTGGTGGTCTTGTTCGAGCATGGTAGCGCTTACGAGTCTCATACCGTAATCTGTAAAACAACTGGAGCTGCGAGTACAGCTGATTAACTTTGTTTACGAACACGTCCGCCCAACGTGAAGGTGGTCGTCCAAGGGAACGTTTGCATTCTCTTGGAGCCCACTCTACTGCTCTTTTCGTCCATCTGTCGTCTGTTCTTCTCATTATATGACCGGCCCGTCAATGTTTCGCTGTCGATGTATATTCTCCTGGATCTCGAAGATGTGACAGATTTCGAATGTCAGAGCTTCGCATTCCGGCTACATATTGAGAGTGCCGATTATGTTTCAGAAGACATCGCTCAAGCGCTCTGTGAATAGCGCGAAGCATTCTTTACGTAGTTAAAGTATCAACCCACGTCTCTGCAGCATCACAGTGCGCTGGGAAGACCGTAGAATCAAGGAGATGAGTGCGGATTTCCGGGTCCTTCAGTTGGTCGATGGCTTCTTTGGGAGGCCCGAATGCGACCCAAGCTGCTCTCCTTCTTCTATCTAGTTCCTCCTCCAGCCCTTCCTTCTTCCTCCTTATCTAGCTCAGATAAGAGTAAAGCAATACCAGGACCCACCACCGTCCTGGTATCGAACTAGTCGCATGGTGGCAAATCTCACTCTGATCCACAAGGGCGGCGACTGCCTGTGTTGGTGAAGACCTGGGGCAAACTTTGGGCAGGCTGACCTCATGACTTCAGAGAGCCATATTGGCTAAGGTAGCAAAATTCCGGAAAAATGGAACTTGTGCTGGGGCCGACACAACCATTGAAGACGGATTATCCAAGTATCCAAGTAAGTAAATTGTATCTACACGAACTACAGCGTCTTCATCCACAAGAAAAACGGACTTTTCAAAGGAAATTCTTGCAAGAGATCATAACTACGCCTTCTCACTGATGACAATGGCCACCAAATGAACCAAAATCAAACCTCCACGTGAAGGAAGCTATTCTATATTGTTGGTGTAACTTTGGGAGAATGTTCTTTTAAGCGTCCTATTGCCATTTGTTACTGCATTGTGGCCGTATCATTGTAATCGATGATATCTTGAAAGGGACCTTAAACGTTACTTCAGAGGTTGGCCAGTGTCATTCAAGGAGAGCATCTCCAACACGATAGTGCTTCTCTTCCTTCACCGCGGTGGTCGGTTACACGTTGCGAAGATAACTCGTATAACTCTTTCGCAGTTTAATTGAGAAGTTCTATTGTAATCGGCACATTTTCAGGACTTTGATTACTCCGTAATTACCTTCATAGTTGGAAACTGGGTTGCACCGTGTTCACTGGTTATGCGGGCCCAAGAATAATTCCTGTTTTTTCGGAGTTTTGCTGGTTATGCCACTGTGATTGCTTAGAGTCCCGAAGAGTTGATACTTACTTGATACATGAACGGCCCATCATCACTGGTTGTGCGGGCCCAAGCATAATCACCATTTTTCGGAGATTTGCTGGCCATTGTGGTTCGCTGGAATCCTGAGTTCAGCCTGGCCAAAGTCTGCCCAGGTCTTCACCATTACGGGCAGTCGCAGCCCTTGTGGATCAGAAGGAGATTTGCCACCATGCGACTTTGATACCAAGACGGTGGTGTACTCTTAACTAAGCTTCCTGATGGAAACGCCGGACTCCTCAGCTTGGGACACCCTTCCGGGGTGACGAATCCCCGCTGTACATCACAGCGCGACACCCTGGAGCACCTCTCAGCCACGATGAGGCGGTTAGCCGTTGTGAGGGTTCCCAGGACAGTCTAACCAAAGTCAGTTCGCCCCTATTCCGTTAGTAGTTTGCCAAAAGTCATCTGTGGAACAAAATGTAGTGGAGTTGTCTACCAAACTTAAATTGAAGGTTACATAAGCGATTTTTTCTTGCCACCATCGGCAAAGGTTTCGGCACCGGAATGGAACAGTACGCGTATAGTAAGAACATGGTATAGGGATAACTGTGTCGATTCTTAACGTGGTATTTGAATTTCGGTGTTTCACAACAGATTGTACTTCCGAAAAAAATGAAAAATTCCGAAAATTGTTTTCATGTGCTAGTGCAGATGGTTGACGTCAGCGACGGACACATTCGCCGCATCATTTGGGTGATCTTCCACGAGGAGCTGCTCTTCTTTATAGTTCTTTCTTCATGTCTTTCTCTTTGTTCAGTCCAAATATACGTACGACTTGGTTTCTGTAATCGAAGAACCATCCAGTTCGATTTGTTCACCTTCTTACTGTGGACTCTTCGTGAACTTAGTCTTCGTCCTATTCATGTGTGGTTCCATCTTCTTTCCCACTTTGTTAATTTCACTGAGCATCGCCTCTGCTTCGTTGATCCTTTTGGAAAAGTGGACAACGTATTCGGCAAAACAAAGATTTGATAGGAGTTTTATGCAAGTAAGCCACAAGTCCTTCTCGTCCCAATATAGTGGCTTTATTATTCACTGCAGTGCGGCAGTAAATAGTTTTGGCGATACAGGCTTACCTTGTTGAACTCCTTTTTCTAATTTGTACGGTGAGCAGTCGATGAAAAACGTGTGTGTTTTGGCTGCAGTTCGGATAACAGTTTTCTAGTGCTCGAATATAGAATATAGAGCGGGTCCACCCCTTGGTTGACGAGAGCTGATTAGGTTGCATTCGCTTCAAAGCTGCGAAACGCTTTCTCGTAGTCCATAAAGATTGGGACAATGGGCAGATGGTACCACCGACAGACTTCTATGACCTGTGTCGCGCTTGGTATATGGTCCATGCAGCAGAATCCCTATAGAAATCCTACTTCCTCAATTCGTTTCGCCCCATCCAAAGTTCCATGGTCTTCGATGCGCGCAAAATGAATCTTTGTGAACAGTTTGTAGAGTTCACTCAACAAACATATTGAATTTTCGTGAGCAAGGTCCTCCACTGCTCGGCGTTTTTTTCTTTCTGAACGTAAGATATCATGGACGTTGCGAGAAATACATGTAGTTTGTGGTCAGCAGCTCTAGTGAAATCTGTGATGATATTATCAGTTCCTGGAACTGTTCCTTTCTTCATGCTATCGCAACCGAATTTCAGACGGTAGAATCCCGGGCGGTTTTAACCAATTCCGGGTTTCGATATCGTAGACAGAGGTTGTGGAGCAGGAAGGATTGATATAGAACTTTTCCGTTATCAAGTCCATATCATGGCGGGATGTAATGATAGTTCCACCTTCGTTTATTAGGGTGGACAGCGGAATGTTGTAATCGCAAAGATCCCGATGAAACTTCTTCAGATTGGATGGTTCTTGAACAGCTTCCAATAACTTTTCTGCCTATACCATTGTAAATCCTCCTGCAAGGATCCTCTACAGCTGGTGTTTATAACCAGCGTGTTCGGTTTCTTGTAGAACGATCAAACCTCACTTTCCTTCTCTTTTACAGCAGATTCTTTGTGGTACTGGAGAAGTGGTCTGAACTCCCCGTTTGATTAGACGTTTAAGATGGTACTTACTTGGATACTTGAATGGCCCGACTTCACTGGTTGTGTGGACTTCAGCATAATTAACAATTTTTTAGTTTTACCCATTGTGGTTCCCTAGAGTCCCGAAGTCAAGCTAGCCAAAGGGTGCCCCAGGTCGTCACCACCACAAGCAGTCGCTGCCCTTGTGGATCAGAGGGAGATTTGCCACCGTGCACCGAGTTTAATATCCGGACGGTGGTGATTCCCAGCATTGGTTTACTCTTAGCTGGGCTTCGGCATGGAAACATCAGCATCCTTCTCAGTTTGGGAGATTTTAATGGAGAGATGAACCTCCGCCCGCTGTACGTCGCAGTCAAACTTCTCTTTGCTATGGTGAAGTGGTAGACCTTTGGGAGGAGGTATGATGTATAGCGTAAATCTGTAAATCAGTAGTGCAACCAAAGCTGATAAGAAGTGATCATTATATATATCCATATCTAAGTCCAGCTAGAAGTAAAGATTTCCCAAGAATCTTCAGCATCCTAGGAATAACATAATCGCAACGTGCTAAACCATCCTCCGATTCACAAGAACAAGATGCTGCCTGTATTGAAGGCCTAGTGACGCTCTAGCATAGTCTTCTTGGAACTCCAGGCAGATGTCTTGCCAATGCAGCAATGCTGCATGCGATTTCGATGTAAAAGATGCTGGGGTGTGCACAATTTTTCGTCAGTATAGATGATGGAAATATTCAGTAAAATATGGCTCTCAATACGAAGTCGCCTGCATTTGCCTTCCACAAAAATTTGTCCACTGCTTGGCGATTTTATTACGAAGTGGTGGCTAAACAGCCAATTAAACTGGATGGTGTTGCGTTGGTAAAGTTTTCTTGCAAATACACAATGGTTGTCTATCTCAGCCGTTGGTGAAAATTATGTGGTTCTGTCAAACGTGTCTGTTACTGGCTGGTGAGCAAAAACCATTTGATTTCATAGAGTCTTCCGCAATTCTTGAACTTTGCTTCTAAACTAACTCAAATCACATAAGATGGTAATAAGTCATAGATTCCATCAACATTATTGGTGAGATCTTCACTTTGTGATCAATTCCTCGATGGACTTCTGTTACATTTTTATTTAGTACAGTTTTTACAAGGGGCAGGTAACACAATGGTAGTCACTCATCATGAGCACGGTGATGATTCGAACACGCCCAGGGGCGTTAAGCTCCTGATTCCTCCGAGGTTGGGAACTTGGTACCAGACTTGTCTGGGAACCGTACACTCCGTGCAATTAAAGTGGGAGAGCTCTAGACCGCTATCCTAGGACTCGAAGTAGAATCGACTCAACTAGCATTCAACGACGTTCATGACGAAACGAACGTCTTCAAGCACCATTCGAACCAATATGAAAAAAGTTCGGAGACCTCCGCAGATAATGCGAAAGGAATGTACGAACAGCTGGGATCCGCACACTAGATGTGATGGTGTGAGTCGTGTAAAATAAAGGTAAGAACAGTTTTTACAAGCACATTCCTATTTCTTACCACTATTGAATCGTTCTATCGAAAAATGGGATGTTTGTCGACACAACATTTTATGAAGAATTTCAAGGGAAATATAAGAGAATTTTGTTTTCGAGAAAACAAGATTAAAGGATTGATTAAAGGAAACGAAAATGTCGATAACGAGACCTGGAGATGCTATTAGCTTGGAGTCAATTCACATGTTGATTACCGATGATACAGGTGGTAATGGGAATACACAGCGTTTTAACCTTTTTGCTCTACTTATTCTTTCTTCATAGAAGGGTATAATGTAAAACATAATCACAAGGATGCAGAGATGTAAGGAAAACTAGAAACTTCAGTTACGTTTCGAACTAGCGATTACCTTTTCTGGATGCCTACATGATATCCACTGCACTACTTCGAAAGGTGTAACCATAGGTTCGAAGTGCACCTGTGGTTCCGAGTTTTGCTCATATCTCAGAATCTTGTGGTGGTGAGAAGAATTTTTAGAATGACCGTTGCGATGATCTTCTAGAGTTGCTGACTGGTGTCGTAAACAAGTAACCGAACACATTGTAGTGTCAACAATAATTGGATACAATCCATAAAAGAACCCATAAAGCATAAAATTTCCAAGCAGAAAATATTCAGTTGGCGAAGAGGCAGTGTTCATCGTCGCTAACGTAGTCCTGTGTGCAGAAGCCGAACGCATCTTCGAGCGCGCTCTCCCATCTGTATGAGTGCGCGATTTTGACGTCGTTATCAGCGTCACTGCTAAGCACTTCCAGCAATGGTTCGATGCTAAATAGAGGAGAGATTTTATACGGAAAATCCATGAGACCAACTATTTCATCGCTACTGTTAGTATGTTTATAAATTCATCTGACCATGACTTTTTCACTATTAAAGCACGAATTCATCTTCATTCTTCGCAGTAAACAGTGTTGTTGAAACAATTCGAAACTACGAAATGATCTAAGCGCTTCACTTTTCGTCTGTTTTTAAAAGAAACTAGGCACTAGCTAAAGAACTGGATGTAATTCTTGCACTTTAGGTATGAATTTCTTGAGGACCTCACTCTTCCATTAGGATAACATCTCTTCGTTGTGAGATGTTCTTGGTTGTGAAGCAGTTACATACATAATCGAGATTTCTTCCCGTAAATGTCATCAGTCCGAGAACCCACACCTCCATCCGGAAGCCCAGCTGAGGATAGAACTATTCGGGAACTACACTTTTATAACGGCACTACGTGAAATATAGTTATAGGATGAAAAAAATCCCCCGCCGATACATAAAACACAATGGCTTGCTTGTGGCGATGACCTGGAAACACCTTAACACCAGGTTCTTGCATAAGAGAGATAGAATTCTGCGTATGTTCATTCAAATGCCAAATGAGTATTGAAGAACTGCTTATAAATTTAGATTCATTCACATGAAATCCAATCCATAATGACCGACGAATGCTTGTGTTAAAGACCTGGAGACATTCTAACACATATGTTTCCATACTAAGGGTAAAACCATGTCCACCTACCATTTAACTTGTCAATGAGTAGAGAAGACGACATACTTGAAAGCGTAACAATAGATGTATGGAATGGGAGAAGTGCTACTATCTTCATAACATATGAACGCAGGCTATCGAAGTGTCTATGTTTTTTCGAAGCGGTTTTGGATATTTCAAAATACGCGTCTTCTTGCAATGATATTCTTAATAGTTTGCATCCATCCTTATGCATCAGCGTAGAGATGGAGATTTGAAAGAATGATGTAGTTCCAACGAAGCTGTATGCCACTGAAGACCAGTGTAATAATGCTGTATCCAGACTAACCTAGCTCAGAAGATAAAACGCAACTAGTGAACTAAAATTGGGAAGATGGGTAGAAGAAAATCCAATCTGTTCACTGATTAGGAGGCTGTCGAAGAAGCACAAGACGGCGAATTTTGGCTATAGAAGAAGAGGTGTGCCAGTGATTTATTGTCTTTTATAAACAATGATCAGTAACTGTAAAAGCAAAGCCAAAAATGACTTCCTAGAGCGAAGAGAGCAAGTTCATGTATGTTACTGCTAGGAACAAAGCCAACAGAACGTTTACTTGTGCCTGAAAGTCACAATGAATTTTTTTTACCTAAAATTAAATCTTACTATGGCCTCATGAAAAATACCATGAATTGAATTTTTAAGGAATGCTTAGTATCTGGGAATGTCGGTTCGAATGTGGGTGAATCGGAATTCTTCTCAAATAGGGAGCTTATCTCTGTAGATATTAACCCTAAACCCCTGTTTACATCAACAAATCATGAAGACCTACTAACCCTAACAGGACGACTTCTCGGTGATGTTTCCGAAAAAGTCTCTTAAGATGCGCAAGGTTGAACTTTGTAGTTCGTCGATCCACTCGTGAATAGTAGTAGCTGCGAAAAATCTGAAAGTTATCGTGGTCAGGAGCGTTCTTCTAAATAAACGTTAACACAACAGGTCTATTCTCTGATTCGCAAACTTACCATCGGTCACTTCAATTGTGAAAAAGAGGAGGTGCATCCTAAGATGGATGTGATATACAGAGTAGAATTAGTTATTTGTATAGCCCCTTTTTACTCTGCAATATGGTATGGTTTTAGGGCGCGGGTAGCGCAGTGGTTGAAGGAGCACTGCAATACGCACGTGGTCGTTGTTTCGATCCCGCGCCCCATGTTCACCAAGCCTTCCATTCCTCCTGGATCGGCAAATTGGTGCCAGATCTACCCAGAAGAATAGCAGCACTCTTTGACCCACTGGTAGGTCATCGTAAGTGATTCTATAGGCCAGATTTTCATTCACCTATAATGATGCTTGATGAAGTTAACTACTACATGGTGCATCCCTCAGGGATTGATCAACGCCGAGAGTTTTGTCCTTTTTACGGTTTGTTTTCGAAATAAGAGGACAACCGTAGGCGTTTAAATATTTCCTGGATTCCGTAGCAAATACGGTTTTCCGTACCTAGGTATGGGCCTGTGTTGTGCATTTGGTACAGTTGACGCTTATATTTTGATGAGAAACGAGGATCTGAAAGGATGTTGCTCGCCTCCGAAACTCTACAATGAGAAGCATGGAGATAGTGGAAAGACTTCCGGTTTGTACCAGCACAGCGATTTAAAACGTCGCTCATTGGGCTTTGCGTTGACAAATTCTTACGTACAACATAATTATGTAGAACATAATAATTAGTTGAAATATTTACCGTCATGTACTTGTTTCTTCTCGTAGATGGCTCAGCCGAAGAAATGATAAGATTAGAAAGATCAAACGCCACATCACCGAAGTGCACGTTCTTAACAAGTTACAAGTTATAGGAAGAGAACGAAATCTTTGGGTTCGCTCACAGATATGATACATCTTCAGTTGAGGGTGCGTATACTAAGTGGTGGGCGGGTGTGGTGCAGTGGTCAGAGGCCCACACGTGAAATCGATTCCCGTGCCCGAGAGTCACCAAGCCTTCCATCCTCTGGACTCGGCAAATTGGTGCCAGACATGTCTGGGAGGATGGCAACACTGGCTCGATACATCGGTAGGCCAACGCGAGTCATTGTAAAGTCCAGATATGCATTCAATTACCTCCAAACGCTTAATGAAGTCGAATGCATGGCGCATCCCTCAAGGATTGATCAACGCCAAGAGCTTTATCTTTTGTCTTATATACTACAGTGGTTAGAGATGCCCGGACGTCAGCACGGCCGTTCGTTCCATTGGCTGCTCTTGGGTTCGCCAAGCCTTCTATACATCCTGGGTCGGCGTATTGGCACCGGATTTGTCTGGGAGGATAGCAGCATTGACCTGATAATAATACTTTGGTAGGCTACCGAAAGTCATTGCATAGGCTATTCGACCAACTATGGCGATACCCGATAAAGTTAAATGCACTGTGGGGCCCTCAGAAATGGATTACGTGGAAAATTTTTTTTGCTCTTGGATCTATGGATCCAGGCACCGAAGCAATGAAACTAATGATAATCTTAAGAGCGTTCCAGTGGTTTTTAATGCGAGCCAAAAAAGCTACTAGTGGAAAACTTTACGGTTAACGTTTGGATCAAAAGCATTACTCACTTCCCATTCACTGATGTCCACCAATACTTGTTGATAACGATTGGAACTCTAGAGATATTTAGTAAGAAACTATCGTATAGACTATAAAACTGAAAATATTATCTTCTTCAAAACGTTCAGCTTATGGAAACGTTGGTATAGGAATAGTTATTGATCAACAGCAACCATTTGTTACCTGGTTGGCTGGTATCGGAGTCGAGATGGTAAGACTCCATAAACATAAGAAGGTTTCTGCTAGGTTAGTTTCGCTATCATTTCAGATGAGCGCACTACTCACCTATTAAGCCTGTTATCTTTTCAGGATCAAGTAATTTCATACGCGATGGATAAACTATTTATTCGTCCCAGTTAAAGAGTGGTATCATTTACAAAACGTATATAAGACGGTTAAGGTGAGTGTGAATATGTGCCAGCGCAGTATAGGAAGTTAACGTCATTTGGAATCTTTTTTAAGATTTAAGACCACTAAAAATCCGGGTGCAAAACCTACTATTCCATTCCGGACCTTCCGGAAGTAGCATTTCTCTGCCGTAAGATTACCATGACAAATCACACGCTCCGATGGTTCGACACTGTCATCTTTGCTTTCAAGTACTGCCATCAGCTGAAGGAACACTTTCTAGAGGCTTTTTACATGATCTAGTTGTCTAGCATTCAAAAAAATCAAAGTTCAAGCAAAACTTTTAGATTTAGCCTCTGGTGAATGATCAGTGTATCGTATTTCATCGATAAGCTAACATAAGGTTGTTACCAAAATTTTGTTCCTCTAATATTACATTGCCTTCATATTCCTCAGAGCCGATGATCCGAATCGATGTTCCACAGTCGTTCGACCTCTCAATGTGGTGTCTCCATCGTTGTATCGGGGCAAATCTCCTTCAGTGAAGCCCCAATCGAATGAGTCAAAATATATAGAGGATATAAAAGAGCATTGCCTTGTTGACTCATTTGAGCGGTGCTCTGCTGAAGAAGATCCAACTCGATAGCGGCGAACAAGACACCACATTAATAGGACCAACGACTGTACACCATCGATTCGGAACTTCGGCTCTAATGTAGACGAAGACATCGAAACGTTAGCCGAATAAACATCTTTGATAACAGCCTCGTGTAAGCTTGTCAATGAAATGCAGTACTTATGATTCTATTCATTTTTCTGTGTTGTTACGGCGGAAATCCATGCCGGCTCATAGAAATATTCTCTTTCCCAAATACATGAAGGTACCATATTGAGAAAGGCAGTCTAAGGTAGAAAGACATCGAATTCTTTTTTCCAAACCTATAGGTTTTTTCCGACTTGGAGTTATTCCGATTTAAAGACAAATTCTTAACAAATTCTGCGCCTAAAATTTTAAACAATAGGCATGAACTAAAATCAATGTTTTCTGAAAGGTCTTCTAGTTTTGAATTATATAAACATGAAGGAAGTGTGAAGCGCGCGTAGCACAGTGGGTAGGACGTACGTTGCGACGCACATGGTTGTTGGTTCGATCCGGCAACGGTTCAACGAAGACTTTAGGCTCCCTCAAGTCACTACGCAAACCAAATGTCTCTTCAGTCATCTTAACGATGTTGAATGGAGTCCACTCCAAGGCACATTTCTAGGCGGTTGATCAATGCCGAACGTTTATTCTTTGAAATATGTGTACCCATAAATCTTTCAGATACGTGAAAACCCAGCATAAGCTGTATATTCCACTACAAAAATGTTAAAATTTTCTGTAAATGTTGTAAATTAAATTAAATAAAATGTAGATTAAAAGAAGTCGTCAGTTTACCCTTGGCATCACTTCCATTGGTAATGAAAAATATTGCGATAGTCCTCCCATGAGTGCTTCTCTAAGAATTTCTAATAACTGTGGCTCAATAGATTTCTGATAATGCTGAATATTTTCGTGATTTTCTTCAATTACTCGAAGAAACTGAAAAAAACTTTGCAGCCATATAAACTATCAGATCCTTGAAGTATAGGAATGGTCTAATGCTTTTACTAATAGTGTTGGAAAATTACATAGGGCAAAACAGATTGCTCATATTGAAGAATAAGCACAAACACTTGTGAATCAAATGTGTCTCATAGCGACGTCAAGTATGGTCACAATAAAATCGCATCACCTCAGTAGATATAGTTGCTGTGTTGATCGAATGCATTATGGCAATCTTCTCAGCTACCTTAAACTGGATAGCAAGATCACTAGAAAAGAACAGATCTATTAAAAATATTTCTAATTCCCTACTTCCGTAGAATCGCATTGATGTAAATAGTATTAGACTTAGAAATTACAAGCTTCTTCAATAGGTCCGTTCTCCGTTGATCTCATCCAAGTCTTTTCCAAGATTTCTCGTACAGATTGAAATGGGAAAGCAATCACATTGTATTCTCCTAACGATTCCCTTCACTTTTCATTTCGCTGACTGAATGCTAGGATTTGCATTTTAGTGAAGAAGTTTCCAGGAGAGATGAGAGAAGGTCAGTGAACTTTGAAAAAGAGGATTGGAATGTTCAGGTCTACAAAAAATCTGTCTACTTTCCTAGCTTTATGACAGCATAGAGAAAAATATCTTAGAAATGCTGTGACGTCTCATGCTGGCATTTCAGTAATGCTAATGGTGTGACATGGGGTGGAGGCTTAGTCTGCGTCATCAATTTTCATTCTTCACTAAGGAACCTGAATTCCTACACACGATACTCAAATGCTCTATTAGTTTTCTAGAAAACTATGATAACGTCCACGAGTTTTCTACCCGTTCAAATTTCGAAAGAAACCGGAAGTCATGCATTTTCCCACAGAAACCCTCGAGAGAAATCAACGATGAAGGGCGGCCATAATGAATTTTTGATATACAGAGCTTACATAAATAGCATTATTTAATAATAACATACTAAAAAGTCGATCACATGCCTGACATAGTTCATGCTCGCTAAGCTGATGTTTCTGAACACCGTGTTGGAAGATGACGACGAACACCAAGTAAGACAGGTCGTCGTCTTCAATTCTGAATGAATGCTCGAGACGACCACATGGAATCGCCAGACGGTTTTCAGTGACAGCTTCGTGGAAGAATTTTGAATTGAGGAATGCAGCCTGCATAGGGAAGAGATAAGGAATGGATCGATTTTCCAGAAATTTATGTTCAATCGATCTCATTAAGGATATAGCCAGATTTTGTAAGTGATTAGCTTAAAGGAATCATGTACTGATGAACATTCGATTGTTTGAATAACATCGTTTTTGTGAAGAAACAGTGTGGTTGTTTAGTAATTTTTCATTTTTTATAAGTACAACTAACTGAAACTTCTACCTTTTCATCTACCCAGGACCAAAGCTCTCGAAAGAAGGCAAAAAAAAAGAAAAAAAAACAATACTTACAAGTTTGGACGCTTCTGGCAATTCCATTTCTTGTTCGTCATTGTTTTGTACAAAGAATACACGATAACTCACGTGACCAGACTGAAGAGAGCAAAAATTGTCTTAGGTGCTCATCTGAGGATACCGTTCCCACTAAAGACTAGGCAGTTCTTGATTATTGTGCATAAAAGTTAACATCTCTTCCCATCATCAGAAGTCTCTTACAAATCTGTATAGACAGGAGATTACCTTGGATATTAACTCGATTCATGAACGTCGATAAATTTTCAGTTTGCAACTAATTCTTTCTATTTATTCATTGCATGGATTCCATTGGTGGTTTAACTTCGAGTTTAGAAATTTCGATTTAATGTTAGTGGCAATTCTGTCGTTATTTTTGCACCGTGTGGCTGGAAATCGATCCATGTCGACGCGAAATGTTAACATATAACGGACTGTGTGCAGTGAATACAATTTCACGCGACTCGCCGAGTGGCCTGCATGAGTTATATGGTTATAAACATCAACCTGTTTCGGATGGTTTACTTTGGCACACAAAATTATTTTTCTATACTTCTTATGGGCGATCGATAGACCATCCAGTACTGATGCTGTGGTGGGGCTTGACCGGGAAAAGCTCTATTCTGCTCAGTAGTATGCTGAAGAGCATTTTCTCGAACGAATTCATTGACTGGTAATTCGACAGACAATCGACTGTTATTTAATTTTGATCTCCAAATTGGATTGCAATTATTATATGGAATGTGCAGATATAAAAAACGAATTAGACGCAGCATAATTTGTAAAACACACATGCACTAGCTTACATCATAAACATGCACAACACACCCACACATGCATGCGCGCACGCACGCACACGCACGCACGCACTCACGCATACACACATACACGCACTAACAGACACATATATATACACCATAATACACCTTAACCGTTACAAATAGAAATATTATAGAAATGAAATGCTACTTCCTTAAATTTCAAAAGTACAATAGAAAGCTTATTTAGATCAACATCGGTGAAGTTTATGAAGAAACAAGATTTCGTCTCTTTCACACGTCCACTCAATTATACGATTGTCGGGGTTATGAACACGATTAAACTTACTGATAAACTAAACCATTCATATTGAAAATTCGGCTCAATACGAACATCAGAAGTCCATTAATGGTACCATTTTCATATAACACATCACTTATTCGCGATGGAAGGAGTCCAACTAATTCACAGAACGGTACTCGCCTTCAGCTCGAATGAAGTAATTCCGTTTAGACTGACAGTTACATCGGTCTCTGTGTAACTGGACAACTGCAGTTCTCTGGCGACGAGTTGTGATAGCTGCATTCTGATGAATGGAGTCCAGACATCCACGATCAAGCATTAATCGTTTAATGCCTCTTGGTGTTCTGCAATATTTCAGCAGTAAGCAAACACTGATCGCTTGTCTTATCAGTCGGAATTTCACTCAAACACGAACAGTGCAGATCGATGGAAGACCCTTGCACAGCTTTTCGCAAAATCTTCCACAATCTTCTGCAATGTTTTTCTACGCAGCGTAAGAACAGTAGCAACTATAATAATAGTAACCTCTTTGGTGCTGTTAAAGATTTTGAAGAAGGATTTAAGAGACTCAAACGGATTCCATTCGTCCTCACTGAATGCCACAGTTTCTCATCTAGCTCCGATTGCTCGAGATACGGACATGGAGAACACAAGCATTTTCCATAGGAGAGCTTTCGTCATTATTCGTGGAATACCACCCGAATTGCTTTCCAGTTGCTTCAAAACTTTGCCGGGTTTTGGCCAAAGCAGTACGAGGTATGGAGCACCAAAGGCAATTGTCATTCCCTCAAACACTTCTAGGAATGGATGCATAAATATGTTCACGTGTACGAAGAAGTCCATATCATTCCCGTCATGGCAGATTAGTGACTCTCATTCTCTGAACACATCTGTTTAACAAAGTAAGTAGGTGCTCAGTCCTTATACCTGCTCTCCCACTCCTTGCTGCCTGAGGTCGCGACACCTAATTCTCAAGGGGGCATCAGTAGAATAATACTGTTCACTGTGATTTTCTTCGTATTTTTGTTGAGCAAACGCGAGGTGTTACTATTCTTTGTTCACGATTAAGCTGACGTTTCGGCGGATTTCGCCTTCTTCAGAGCCGCTTTCTATGAGGTTTCCACAAAGTGGAAAGGCGAAATCCGCCGAAACGTCAGCTTAATCGTGAACAAAGAATAATAACGCCTCGCGTTTGCTTAACAAAAATACGAAGAAAATCACTTGATCAATGCCGAGGTTAATAGAAAGTCGGTCGTGGCAGTTACTGATCACTGTTTTTGAAAATCGACTTTCATTTAACCTCTAAACGAACGACAAGTGTTTTGTTGTTCATGAGCTCGCAGCAACCTGTTGTGAAATGTTTATTGTCATCCGTTTCCGTGCTATCTTCTTCCAAGCTGCAATTGACCACTGTTACTTTACTTATCATTAAAAAAAGAAAATCTCAGCTGTTATTTAGGCTCTGCATTATACATGTTACTATTTTACTGTTATTAGTCATGAAATCCAAGCGATAAAGAGCTTCTTTGGGAAGCTAATGACTAATAACTTGCTTCTTTTAATGTTGGCGAAAGGTTCCGGTTGTTCAGCCTGAAATGATTACAATCGTTATAAATTCTTATAATATTTCGACCGATGAATAGGTACAAACTTTGTGCTTGAAAGCGATTAAATGTATATGCATTTAATCATGTCTAGAGTTTTGCTTACTTTTAATCTCACAGTCACTCTCACACGAGCATGGTACTAGTTCGATTCCACCCCGAGCCAACCAAGTCTTTCATTCCTCCGGGATCGGAAAATTTGTACCGAACTTGTCTGGGAAAAATCACTCTGCAATCCAACTGGGGACGCTCCAGCCCGGCTATCTCAGGACCTCACGGAGAATCGGTCGACCAGCATCGACATTCAGGATGAAATGAAAATTCTCAAGCAGCACCTGAAGCCACACGTTAAAGCTGGAAGATCCTCGTGGAAAATGGATGCGAGAAAACGAATCGAATGTGGGAAGCGCTGGGACCCACACAGTAGAAGTGAAGACAGGTCATATAAAAAAGAAAATCTCAGCTGTTATTTAGGCTCTGCAATTAAGACTTACTTTCTTTTTAGTTATTTCTTGTATTACCCGTCATCACTTCTAATGTGGTGATCCCACCTATTTTTGCACTCGATTCGTTTTCTTCGCATTCATCGTCCACAGTGGTCTTCAAATATTTCGCATGTTGGCTCGGCTGGTGCTTGATGGCTTTGTCTTCTTTTTGGAAGTCGTAGAACGCTGGACGAGTCGTGAAGATAGCTGAGCTATGGCATTCCCATTTGCAGTAGAGGGGAACGGTAGAAGACTTACTAGCTTTAGAAATCTTTCGAAACCCATTCCATTCCGTAAAGTGCTTTCAATACTTAAGTCAACAAAGGTCATACCTGGATTCTATCGAAGTTCAGAGAGCCTGGTACATACGAACGTGCAGATGTGCTATACTATGGGCTTCGTTTTCTTCCTCTATGATCATTCCTCATGTTCGCCGGTAACAATATAACCATTGCCGCTTGCTGCCACACCTAGTTCTTGAAGGGAAATCACTCCATTATTACCTGCTGAAGAGCCATGTTTCCTCACTACTCAAGATGCCATGCAGAATGAAACAATTTGGTCTTTTCCCATATTTAAAGGGCAAGAATCAGTTGACATCTCTTTTTTTACAGGCAAATACTGATTATCTAGTTAATAGTCTTCTTTGAACGGATCTGTTCCTAAGTCCTATCACCTTTGGAACCCATTCAATAAAGTAACGTTTCACTATACCCGGAAAGAATTCATCAGTGATCGGTAGAAATGCCAGCGTGATAAGGGATAAAAGGATGTGTTCGGCGTTGATCAATCCCTGAGGACAAGTCTGGTACCAATTTGCTGACGCCGTACGAACGGATGGCTTGGTGAGCTCGAGGTGCAGGATCGAAGCAAGAACCACATGTGTCTTGGAGAGCACCTCTAACCACTGCACCACGCGCCCACTGCCGGGTAAGGATCTCGGAGAGCGAGGGAATCGCCGTGGGCTGTGCTGATAAGTGTCGCCGACCTCATCCCATTGTACAGATCTTGATTTAGTTGCGGGATACGGATACAGTATCATTGGAGTTTACTCGACCGTGGGGTATCCTTGGTGTGGGTGGGCCACCCCGCCTGTGGTGGCGCACGTGCCCCACCGACTCACTGGGAACCAACTGCGGAGCTCGGCATAGCAACTATTTCCTTTCATTGAGCGACCTCCAAAGGTGTCCTAAGTTCATATCCTCACAGCTCTCACATCACTCATGCACACTACCGCGTCCTGACAACTGAGACGTATCGCCGACGAGTCTGTCCTCGTTTTTAATCACGGCGAAATATTCCATGTCTGGGAATATCAACATCGTTAGCGGTTTCCTATGCTTATTCCTTGGGTACGCCTTCCGTATAGTTTTTGTCCTTTCGAACACTTGTTGCTTATACTCTCGACTTCCTCAGTAGTATATGTGGTTGTAATACTGCTTACGGTAGAAGTAAAGTTCTTCATTGCTGCCTACCTTCATGCTCTTATCACCCCAGATGTCTATAGTCGTCGATAGCTTACTTAGGTTAAATTCAGGTCTCCAGTCCTCTTTGTCTACAACCATAAAAGTATATTGGCAGAGATCACTTTATTATCCGTAAGTGCTTGTGGTTTGTTCTTCCAATAGTTTTCTAAAAGCCTATATTTCCTGGTATATTTCCAAGTTTCTAAAGGAACTTCTTTTTCTAGCCGATAGAATACGAGTTCTATGAAAATCCTTAAAATCATTGCAGAGTGATGAATTCAATGTTCTCAACTTCAACGGAGAGGATGAAAGATGTGTATTTCACCGAACTTTATCGATCACCATATCTCAAAGGACTGAAATTTACTTTTACCCAAGTTTGTGTATTTTCCTCTTTGTCATTTGGGAATCTATCGAATACGTATGGGTAATATATAGTGCATTGAATGGCCTTAGTTCATATTAGAAAGCCTTTCCTGTTGGGATACTTGGCCTTCAGTAGTTGCTTATTTACTTCGATACTTGCAATGCTCTTCTTCACTAGTTGTGTTGGCTCCAGCACAATTTATGCTTCTCCGGAGTTTTGTTGGTTTAGCCATTGTATTACCTTGGAGTCCCGAGGTCAGCCTAGCCGAAGCTTCCTCCAGGTCGTCACCACCACAGGCAGTCACCGCCTTTGTGGATCAGTTGGAGATTTGCCACCATTCGACTTTGATACCAGGACGATGGTGGATCCTGGTATTGCTATACGCTTAGCTGGGTTTCCAGATGGAAACGACGAACTCGTTCTGAGCCTGAGAGATCCACGGCTTCAGTTACATGGTCGAAAATCTTAACGCTGTGTAGAAAGCTCAGGTGTAAACTGGCGTCATGCATATAATTTTCGCATCTAAGGTTTGAATTTATTCGGTTAATTCTTTTCTTTAGTGTTAAGGTTTACAAGAGTTGGTCTTAACTCTCCTTGATGCCCTTCTTTACATTAGTTGATGGTATATTTTGAGGGTAGTCGAGAAAGAACATTCGACCTCGTACTGCGGCATAGCAGTGTTGCCATACTTCTCTATCATACAGTGTTAAAGAAATTCGTATTCGTAAGGCAGTTTCGTCCTGGTAATTCTTCTCTTCCAGATGATTTCGTGTAGGTTCGTATTGTCCTTAACTTCTCGCAATTCTTTTAGCCGTACTAGTTGGGCATATCTTACGATTGCCGGAGAATTTCGGAAAGCAACTGAAACAGATTGATTGGTCCAAATATGATGCATCTGAGGGATATACTTTGGAATTATGTGCTGGACTAATTGACAAGGTGAGATGAGTGGTAAGTCACCAAGACCATTTTTTATCCCTCTTAATTTTAACGCTCATGTTTAGGACCTTCCAACGATTGATATTATGAAAGAAGAAATAGAAGAGGAATGTGGGTACAGTGTTAAGCGCGATAAAATTCATCTCATTGCAACTTTTAGGTAACGATGAGCTTCATGCCTTGTGAATGCGTCGTTTTCTCTCTCAGTATTCGCCAGGTTGTCATGTAGCATACATTTACTTCCATACAAAAATACACATACAACACAACAATAGCTGACTTTTTCAGCAGTATCGCCGTCTTCAGAGCTTGGAATGGTATATTGGTACGCAACTGACTACGCCAAACGCTACAGTAAACACAAACAGAAAGATGAAAATCTGTATGGCAATCCAATGATCAATGGCATCTTGAAAAGCCACCGTTTTTACATGCTTTCCACTGAGAATGAACAGCTGATCACAGTTGCATGCTGATGATGACCGCGCCACCCCACATCAAATAGAAAGGACGAATGGCCAGCGATCGCACGTAATCTTGCCCCGTATCTTTGCATCGACTTTTGATGTAAGGTGCAGTCATCAACCATATGCGACTCAAATCAGCTGTTCTTTTCTTCTCAGTGGAAGATTCATTAAAACGGTGGGTCTTTCGAGAAGCTGGTGATCACATGGTTACCATACAGATTTTTGTCTTTCTGTATGTGTTATTGAAGCGTTTGGCATGGTAAATTGCCTGTTAGTACACCATTTCAGGCTCTAAAGAAGGCGATACTACCGGAATCGGCTACTGTTGTGTTGGATGTGTGCTTTTTGTGCGGAAGTAAACGTATGCTATATAGCAACCTCGCCATTGCTGAGAAAGAAAACGATGAATTTATAATCCAATGCCGAGGTTAATGGAGAGTCAATCTTGGGAACTATTCACGTCTTGTTTTTAAAAAGCCTGGACCTATCAATGGTAAGGTTTTCAGTGTTGCTGCTCATGAATCTGGAGGTACGCAGTACCTGTTCTATGCTGAAATTGATGATTCTATGAAAATATCCGAAGGAGGAGGAAATGTTAACGAGGGAGAAGTTATTACGAAGGTTTGTGGTGTGCTCAGCTTAAGAGTACCCAGAGGCAGAAGTCAGTTTTCTTCTTTAAGGTATTTCTTACGCAGGACGAAGCCCTAGCTTTCATAAACAACGACTACTGTTTGGGTCCTCCCTCTATGCTATACGCGCTATTATGGTGGTTTGCGCATAAGAATGGTCAGAGGAAGACCTCGTCTACGGTGAATAGCATGTAGGCTCCTTGACAAACTTCAGCTGTAGCCTTATTGGACCATCGGATTCGAATTTTTGTAGCAAGACGCCTATACATGGAAACCAAAGAACGTCGTTCCACTGAAGGATTTCAAATTCGAGAAGTTGTTGTCTTCAAAACGTTTCGTTCCTTATCGAATGCAATTCACACTTGTAAGTGATCGTTTGCTAATACAATATTTTCAAGAGAAGTGCAAGATTATGTAGTTTTTACAACAGAATTTTATCAAGTGTCTTTCAAGGGTCCTCTGACCAGAACCTGGGATCTAGCTTTGTGTGATGACAGTGTATCCGTCCTTTTATTCAATGAAAGCGTGGAAGAATTAGTGCTTGTTCAGAGATTCCGACCAGGTACATGTTAAGCCTTCTTTTATAGTTCAGTCTTATTTTTACATTCTTTTGATTCTTATGGCTTAACGTTTACTTTTTATTTGTTGCCTAGTATAATATTTTACGGCAAGGTATGATGTGAAACACAAGCACGACGATGCTGAGAAATTCGCAAAACTTGGGCAGCGGATCAGATCAGATCGAATCACCATTACCCTTTCCGAAGGGTTGCGTATTATACATTGGAACACCATTAAGGCTCTTGCTTTGCGTTTCTATCAGCTAGTTTTCTACCTAGCGCTGCCATCTACAATCATATCTGACCCGAGGTCCAAGTTTTGAGAATGTCTCAGCATGTTGTTGTATTTCATGGCCTACTCGGAATTGTTCGCCTATCCAAGTAAAATACTATTGGATTTCACACTAATCTTTATAGCTGCGCTAGTTGGCCAAGCACGACATCGCAGCCCTGCTAGCACTGAATTTGAGTCGATCGACTGGTTATCGCAACCTGCAGAATGGGCATACACGTTAGAATTGTGCACTGGACATTATAGGAAAGGTAGCTCTGAAGAAGAAATTGAAGCACGAGTGAAGAAAATCGCTGCTTTGAAATGCGGCTATACATTGGATTCTGTTCACTTTGTTAAATCCTATATGTGAGCTTGCTATTTTGATAACTTTAATAACTTTGTAAATTCTCGGCATTTGTTTAAGCACCTCAAATTTCTGTTTAGCGTTGGCATCAGCTTCGCTGGAGATCGACAGCGAGCTTATTATGCTAAGGTTACCAACTCAATGCGAATACCAGGATGGAACCAGTACGAAGACATAACTCCGGTATGCGTTTTGTTCTTCTTCACATTTCTGCACAAGCTGCTAATAGAATTCTAGTTATAACTTGTTCTATTCATTTATTTATGAGGTACGTGTAGCGCAGTGGTTGGAGGCGCCCTGCAATACACATGAGATCGATCCCCGCGTCCCAGGTTCCTCAAGCCTTCCATCCCTCCAGAGCTGGCAGATTGATACCAGACTTGTCTGCGAGGATAGCAGCACTGGCTCGATACATAGGCTACCGCGAGTCATTGTGAAGGCCAGATATGCATTCAGATCATCTCCAACGATTTTTAATGAAGTTGAATGCATAGCGCATCCCTCAAGTATAAATTAACGCCGAGAGCTTTGTCCTTTTAGCTTTATTCACTTATTTTTGCCGTATTTTACTAATTGCGATACTACAGAGCACAGATTAAGCCTAGAAGTTTATTCTCATCTAATGCATTGTTTCAGTTTTCAATCCCATGTTCGGATATTCCTTCATTTCTTTGTGACAAAGCACCCACCAGCCCACCATCTGTGTTGTTTATGTTGCGGTGGTTTCTGGACAACGAGAAGAAACACTTTGATCGTTGAGACTATCAGTATTAAAAGATAAACATGACGAAACTATCTAGACATTGTCATGTTATCTCATTTGTACAAACGTTTTATGCCTTACATATGTAGCAGTAAAATTTTACAAAGAGAAGACGGATTTTAATTCTATGAACTATGAACGATAGCCGCATGACAGCATGGGTCTGCTGAAGAAGCTGAACGATTGTGACAAAGTGTGAACTATGGAATGCAAAGTTAGCTGCAAGACACGATACAAGTGAACTTTTATAACTAGTTGGTAATATCTTACCAAAGGGCACGTGCAGCGCACTGGTCAGAGGCGCCCTGCTACACACGTGGGATCGATCCGCGCTCCCAAGACTCATCATACCAGACCTGTCTGGGAGGATAGCAGCATTGGCACGATACAGCGGTAGGCCACCGCGAGTCATTGTATAGGGCAGATATGCATTCAATCACCCCTAATGATCCTTAATGAAGTCGAATGCATGGCGGAAACAGACTTTAACCGATCTGCCTGCTGAACGTACATAAAGTATTCTCCCAACTAGTTTCCTGGCAAGAGCGCTGCGTTGCGAAATATTGTAACACCGTATGGGAAGAACTATGGACATGCAAATCGAAATGATAGCTACTTTTTTCGTGAGATATTATTAGTAAGAATGACCGGGCATACAATATATTAGAATCGACAAGAATTTGTCCGCACAAAGGTAAACAATGCTTGGACGGAAAACTTCTAAGTTAAACAATGGCTTATGCTCTTTCAATATAGCAGCTATGGACTCAAAACGTTATCAAGCGCTTCATTTTAACCTGTTGACTTTATTAGAAAACTAGTGAAGTTTCTGACTTTAGTTACTAACTAGATTTCTTGGTATTGTGTATTACAGTATTATATGTGATTTATTCATTGCCTTACACTAACCAAGCGTGATTTTCGGGATAGTTCACAGGCCGCCGCCAAATACAACCCCGAAAACTTCGGCAACACGGCTATGAACCAGGATGACATTGAACAGAACAAAAAAGTGGCAGTTGTTAACGAATTCCGCACATAGAACCGATTGTAAAACTCTCGACCCCGGCAGGACTCGAACCTGCAATCTTCGGATCCGAAGTCCGACGCCTTATCCATTAGGCCACGGGGCCTACGTGGAGTGGACGCAACGTTTTCTCCTAGTGGTGAAACTCCACACTTAACAATACTCTTTAGACATGATAAAGTGGTACACAAGTGATAAAAGAAATTTATGGCCCTTCAAGCAGCTTATCAATCTCGGCTTGAATGCGAACGGTTTCACGATGAAGAGCTGCCACTTCGTGTGGTGAGAGATATAGTGATAGTGTTCCTCTTTCAGTCGAAACATTCAATTGAACACCGAGCTCTCCATCTCTTTCTGTAGGTTGACTGCTAAACAACAAGCTTAAGATATAGCTACTACGCATGAAATTAGCATAGAATAAATGTCGAGTAAGTCGAGAGTTTGGACTAATGAGATCCACAACGTTCTTTTAAATGAGCTATCAATTTATCGCCAGGCATAAGAGATCGCGAAATTAAACTATACCACAGTTTAGACTTGCTTTCTCTAAGCCTCAACCATAACGTCGAAAAAAATCTAGAACTATTGATTCGTGCTTCTCCCTTGCGAAACCCCTCTGTTCTGTAAAACTCCAAAAGTTAGACAGTACTGTGAACTTAAAGAGTTTTAAGGAACGTCCCAACGTTTTAATAGAAAATTTGGGAAAACGAATAGAAGATCTAGCTGCGTTGAATACTCAGGGTTTCGACGACCCACTTCAATGAAACTAAGTACCTGGCAATTTGCATCCATATACTCCATGAAATATCCCTCACACGGCTTTTGTCCGATGCAGTTTGTCGGGCGAAGTAGGTGAAAATACTTGGCCCTTCCGAGTGCCAAATGCTTGAGACAATGTCAACGTATGGAGAAGGAAGGCAAGACTAAAACAGTTTCATAACCACTACTATGCAGACCAAATACCAAGACAATCATCAGCTTTAGTGGAAGACTAACTTATGTAAACTAACACGGTATCACTTCTCCCATGAACTTAACAGAAAGGGCACAATAAAGGAAATTAGTCCGTACCCTTTGATATCAATAGTTACCTCTTACAAAAGTACTCCAGCTCGTAAACAAGCCTTCAACACCCCTTCACATTATGGCTCTTTTAAGTGCTAGGAAGTTGTACTGTGTGAAAAGTAAGGAAACGTATGTGAATAAAACACTTGTTAATAAGTACAGGTGAAGTAGAGACTCCTTCCAAAGGTTTACCGTTTAATTATGGCTAGGAGGTGTTCCTGTATTTCGGGTTGCGGTGTAAAGCCGGGGGAGTCATCTCCGGCACAGCGTTCCAAGCTGAGGAGTCTGGCGTTTCCATTAAGAAGCCCAGCTAAGAGTAAACCAATACGAGTAGCCACCACCGTCCTGGTATCAAAGTAGTTACATGGTGGTAAATCTCCCTCCGATCCGCAAGGGCGGCGACTGCCTGTGGAGGTGATGACCTGGGGCAGACTTTGGCCTGGCTGAGCTCGGGACTCCAGGGAACCATAAAGGCTGAGCCAGCAAAATTCCGAAAAAGGAAATTATGCTGGGGCCAGCACAACCAATGAAGACGGGTCATCCAAGTGTCCAAGTAAATATGAAGCAAAGACTATAACCTTGAATGTTTAACATATCCCCTGAGCTTCTCAGGTAGCAGTTCATATTAGTGAAGTGCACTCTCATAATAGAATCCCAACCACTACTTAGGCATTCATTTACAGAAACACAGAACTAGATTAGCAGTAATCTTCCTTTGATGACAATAACTTTGATAAGCTTAAACGAGATTGATAAATAATTTCTACTCGGCTAACGTCTTGGTCCCATTGGCTTCATTAGAGCTGATGACCTGAGTCTATGGTCCACAATGGTCTATGAAGAAGACGAAGACGTCGAAAAGTTAGTCGAATAAAAATTACTTAGCACTCTCGTTTAACCTTATCGAAGAAAGACTACATGTTGTTTAGTCATACAGAAGCCCGAGAGCGCGCGTGGTGCAGTGGTCGAAGGCGCCCTGCAATACACATGGGATCGATCATCGATCCCAGCGCCCTAGGCTCACCAAATGTTCCGCTCCTCCTGATCGGCAAATTGCTTCCAGACTTGTTTTGGAGGGTAGTAGCACTGGCTCGACACATCGGCAGGCCACCGCCAGTCATTGTAAAAGCCAGATATGCATTCAATCACCTCCAAATGATGCTTAATGGAGAGAATACACAGCTCACCACCCCTCAGAGATTAGTCAGCGCCGAAACTAAAGGAAAGGCGGATTTTCAAATAGGTTGGTAGTAATGGTCCCAGGCATTAATAGGTTAGTTCCATCTTACAACTGCATGGAGTAAAACCAATGAGTTAAGTTTTAACACATTACCTTCAAAACGTTCAGGAGTGACTCTCCAGTAAAGCGATAGTATATTAAGTATAACCACAATTTCCTTAGGAAAGCCACCTGCAATAACATAGAACTTACGGACTTTGATAAACGCAAAGAAATAAAAGACATAGATATCTTAGAACTTACCACCTTCTCCAAATCTTCCAGAGACAATCCGAAATCTCGGGGAAGCAACTCATACTCGTCACTTTGAAGGAGGTGTTCACTGAACCTAGTAGACGGCAAAAGGACAAGAACCTTTCCAGCAATCTGGAACACTGGATGAAGCGCCATCGTCTAAAGATTCTAACGTTCACCATCAAACATGACTACCTTTTCGAAAGACTCTTCCTCTATATGAGACAAACCTTGCGGGAACGTGGGCAAGCTTGGTAAGAGCATATATAAACGCTTTCACTACAACAATATAAGATGAAATCTCAGTAATTGTAATGCATAATAAAAAGCTCAGATTCACCAAGATGACTGTTCTGCGCTCCAGGGAAAAAATCTGACCTGGAGACCACGTATTGTTGTTTCAGCGTTTCCATTGGTTTGAGCTTACCACAATCGAGGAAGTTTCTTTTGCACCTAAAGATTTACGATTTTGATGTTTTTCCCATAATTGGGGCGCGTCTAGCGCAATGGTCTGAGACGCTTTGCAATACAAATGAGGCCGGTGCCTTCGCCCTAGGCTCACCATGCCCTCCATCCCTCCCGGTTCGGCGAATTGCTACCAGACTTGTCATAAGAGTTTGGTCAACGCCGAGAGCTTTATCCTTTTATTCCCATAAATTTCATATTCGTTAGAAAGACGTTAATGCTGGGATATGAGCAAAACTCAAGATCTCAGCTGTGCTTCGAACCCGAGACTACCCTTTCCGGAAGCTCACGTACTAACCACCACGTTAACGGAGCCTCTTGCTTTGCCTTTCTGGCAGCCGTGGTTTTACTCTGTCCGTGCTATCGGTAGTAGACAAAAGCTAAGACACTGTTGCTAGGCCTCTGATCTGCTTCAAATGATACGCATTTCATCGTAATGGAAACATAGCAGTTTACCCGTTTCTTATTAAGATTTTCCTCGTTCAGCATGCTTAGGTTCGTTTGTCAACAGTAGACGATATCTGAGCAGATTTTGATGAAACACCTCCTAACCCTTATGAAACGACGCGACCTCTAAAGGAGTCATACAATAGAACAATGACAGCTCTTAACCAATATGTATTGGATCATAGTGGGCTTTATTGATTGGAAGAAAACTATTACTTGGATAATTGGACGGCCCGTCCTCACTAGTTGTTCGGGCTCCAGCATATTCTCCATTTTTCGCATATTTGCTGGTTTAGCCATTGTGTTTCCCTAGCGTCCGGAGGTCAGCCTGGCCAAAGTCTGTTCTCACAGTCAGTCGCCGCCCTTGTGGATCAGAAGGAGATTGGCCACCATTCGATTGGTTTGATACTAGGACGTTGGTCGATCTTGGTATTGGTTTACTCTTAGCCGGGTTTTCCGATGGAAATGCTGGGCTCCTCAGCTTGGGAGGCTCTGCTGGAGAAGCGAATCCCCCCACTGTACATCACAGCCCGACACCCAGCAGCACCTCCCAGCCACGATGAGGCGTTAAACCGTTGGGAGGGTAAAACTATTAAGATCACGAAATATAGTCTTTCCATTTTGTTGCTTCAAGGGTCACATTTTGAACGCTAAAGTAGATGAACAGTCGGAACTTTGTCCAGTGTGACACAGTGATGTCCCCAAAGCATCGCCATTGTTTGCACCTGCCGCCGTAGTACTGCTAATTTTAGAATTCCTAACGAAGTCAATTTTTCGAATGTTCTAATTCGAAACATATTCAGATTTGAAGGGACAAATAAAGAATAAAAGGTGAAGCTCTCGGCGTTGCTCAATCCATATTGGAATGCGCCATGCATTCGACTTCAAGCATCGTTTGGAGATGATCTGAATGCATATCTGGCCTTCACAATGACTCACGGTAGCCTATGTATCGAGCCAGTGCTGCAATCCTCCCAGACGGGTCTGGTATCAATTTGCCAACTTTGGAGAGATGGAAAGCTTGGTGAGCCTGGGGCGCGAGGATCGATCTCATGTGTATTCCAGGGTGCCTTCGACCACTGCGCTACACGAACCCGTATTTGAAGGGTTGATGTATAAAAACTGTATGCGACTAATACGAACGTGTAAAGTGCCATCTAACGACCTGCAAAGTTCAGTTTCCTAAAAGACTTCATCGATTGAGAAATCATCGTCAATTATCAAGGAATCGGCTTCGTTGCCAAAGTCTTAAATCCCACTTCTGCTAGTTTCAGTATTTCTATATGACCATAACATTGTCGATGGTTCCGTAATGCTTAACAGCACCCATTATAGCTAGTGTGTACTTGTTTCAAGCTATCAAATCTTGAACTGGAAGGTTGATGGATTCCTTGAATAAAGGTGGAAGTTTTTCATAGTTGTGGAGAATACGAAAGCTCCGTACGGCATGAGGATCCTTGCAATACACATAATATCGACTACTGCGTCCCATGCCTACTAAGCCGTCCATCCCTCCGGGTCGCTAAATTGGTTCCAGACTTGTTTGGGAGGATAGCAGCACCGGTTCGATACATCGGTAGGCCACCGCTGGTCATTGTAAAGGCCAAATATGCATTCAATCACCTGCAAACAATGCTTAATGAGGTCGAATGCATGGCGCATCCCTCAGGGATTGATCAACGCCGAGAGCTTTATCCTTTTATACTTTATCCTACTACAACCTTCATGGCAGAGTATTATTCTAAATACGACCACAACGATGTTGAAATAATCGCATCTGAGTGCGTTCTTATTCCTGGTTTTTAGTATTGCGACTCGTTTCTAGTCAAGAATCTTAAGACCGATATCCATGATAAAAGTTAACAGTCGAAAAGATACAAGTTGCACATTTTTTATCCCCGATATTTTAGATATTCCGTGTAACATAAGATTTGATGTTGTGGACGGCAGAGCGCGGTATCCGAACACAACAGCCGCTTCTTGTTGGTGTGGGTCTTGGTGAGACCCGTGGTGTAACTGCACTAACGCATTCTTAGTCACCAAAGAAAGTTATTAGTTTTACTATATAAATGTAATTGCCACATTTCAACGAAACTCTGTCACACCATCATCAAGTTCCCGCACAGGTAGGTTTAGTCTTCAGGGCTTCAAAAAGAGAATGCTTATCTAGTTAACATATATCTCTTAGCGCTTAGAGATGAGTACATCTCAGTAAACGAAGAGATTCACTCATCGCTGCCATATGCGAAGTACGTCAGACCGATGCGACCAGTAAAATATGTAGATGGTAAGCCTACGGATCTACGGGTCTCCCTCCTACGAGGGATCCCGAGCCGGTTATTCGCGATGCAACGTCCAGCTTTCCTACGTGGCAGATAAGAGGTTAATCGCTAAGCAGAAACAACATTTTACTTCCATCAGATCCAGCTGGATCCATGGGTTGGATTCCTTGTTTTTACGGAGCCAATTTAGCACACACTTTCTGTATTTACGAATTCATACAAATTCACTTTCTGTATTTACGAATTCATACAAATTCACTTTCTGTATTTACGAATTCATACAAATGTATAATTCATACATGCGTGCGTGTGTGCGTTCTTGTTTATGCGGATTGTATTTGCAATCAAATGACAGGGAAGTATATGGAGGCGGTTAGGAGTTCATCAAATGAGCTCCATGTTCACTCCGGGAGAAACTGGCAAGCTACCCGTGAGTATACCCAGCCTCCACGTTGAGAGCAAAGCTATACCTGGGTATCAAAAAGCTAAGCACCGTTAAATAAAAGGTCCTCATTCCCCTGACCCCGAAAGAGCCCCTGACTCGGCAGCGTTAGATAGGACGAGTATGACGAGTACGCTGAGGCTACAAAAATTTCAGGGCCATTCTAGGCTGCCAAAATCGCAAAGGATTTAGGTGAAGATTCGGAGCATGCGACAGTAGTGGAGTCGGCGGCGTCGGTGTTCTCGTCAACACGAGTTTGGCTGTGAGCCTCGATTCTTTCGAACAGTTAACAACCGGAATCGGACGTTTACGCTTAAAGAGGTGTGATTCAACACTGGCTTTGACCGTCTTCGTCGTTTACGCACCGATGTCGAACTATGACGAAGAAGAAGTCGATGCTTTCTGTGTGAACGTGGAGAAGTTCTACAGAGAAGACCATACATTCTTCAAAGTCATCAATGGAGATTTCAATGCAACGATAAGACCAAGAAAAACGTCCGAACAACGTCACACTGGGACAAACGGATTAGAATGGAACGAACAGGACGAGCAGCTGTCTGAGTTTATCATGGCGACCGAGACCATCCATGGTAACTCGCAATTCCAGAAGCCCCACCCTCAACGCTGGACGTGACGGTCTCCCAGTGGAGAGTACCATGACGAATTAGACCACATTATAGTAAATGCAAGGTTTTGCCTTACCGATGTAGTTGCTATCCCAAATTTCTACACGGGATCAGACTATCACCTCCTTTATGCAAGATTCCATTTCTCACGGAAAGGAGAAAAAGCTGTTAAATTCAAAAAACGAAGTCCGAAAACCACTACGAACTGGGACTTATTCAGTTCACAAGGCGGCTGTTGGGAAGATACCGTTCGCGATAAATCGACGGCGGCCATTCAACATCTTCACATTAGCATTACCAAAGCTGAGAGTTTGAAAGTCACCAAGCGACGTCTGTCTCCAGAAACACTCTAACTGATATGCCAGTATGGAATTGCAAGAGCTGCGGGCAACCGCGAACTAACTTCCGAACTTGCAAGCAATGCAGAGAAGCGATAAAAGAAAATCTTAGAGAGAGAAGAGCAGCAGTAATAGCCGAAGCTGCAGAGGCTGGGAAAAGCACTCACAAAGCCCGCCGAAGCTTAGCCAATTACAACAACAAGATGATTGCACTCCGACACCCAGACGGAACAGTTACAGCGTCCAGAAAGGCAATGGAAAAAATCATTCACAAATACTGCTCAGATCTCTTCGATAGGCGCGTCCACCTCCCGTCATATGAAATAAAGGAGGATGGATATGTTGTACCGCCGGTTCTCCCTTCCGAAATGCGATATACCACTTCGTCGGTGAAAAATCGAACAGCACCAGGTCCGGACAGATTAAGTTTCCAGGTCCTGAACACTTGAACAACACTTCCGCCAGTTCTCGTAAACACACTGGCTCGGCTTTTCACACGTTACCTGTCTGAATGCAAGGTCCCTACTCAGTGGAAGACCAGCAAGACCGTACTATT